CTGGTGCAAACGTTTTAATCATGATATGCGTGTCATGTAGGAACATGATAACATGCCACACTCATGATGCGCTCGCGGGCGTTCGCTAACTTCACATATACTGATTTTGGCATTACGTGACGGGAATGAATAAAGAAGGTAAATGACATTTCCAAGCATAATAATCATGACATGGAAGTCATGTATGGTCTAATTTACCTCCACCTCGTAACGTTATTCGTGCCAATTTTAAAGTCATCGGATATCATCGGATGTCATCGATTCCCACTGTACGTGGGATCTTCCAATTGTTTTATGCTTAGATTGCCAACGACTATAGGTGTGACTGTAAAATGCTTCGCATTTAGAAATGCGCGGCAGTGGTATCACGAGCGGTCTCCGTTGAGTGTACTATGAATTACGTCATTTTCAGCGTCGTACCCAAGTACGCGCGCCAACGGTAGTATTGTGATTGACGTAGTCCATCTGGACGCAGCCATGACGCGCTGAGCACTTGCCCATGAGTTTCTCGTGAAACCTTCCAAGTGGCTATGCCACGTACAACTCTAGAAGAGCGCCGACAGTGGAAACTTGAGAGAGCTCGCCTTGCTGATAGTGCAGTCCTGTCAGCAAAACAGGCCCGGGTGGCCGAGCGCCGGCCGCAGCTGCATACTGATGATCCGGCAGCTCTTCCGAGCTGCTCTAAATAGCGAAATGGAATGCAGGCGCCGGTGGAGGGCAGATCTTTCAAGCCACGCCGCCGAGTTGTCTCGCGATGTCAAACGCTTGCAACAACACCGCGCCGAACAATGAATGAGCGTTTGTTCAAGAAGGGGACAAGGTACCTAATTTCGTTCGGCATGGAGGTGACAGAGCGCCGTGCCCTTGAAGAACAAGTGGCGTTGCGGTGTTAATGTGGTGGTTGTGGGGGCGCGTTCGCCAGGCTGAACGCCCGCTTTCGGTGGCAGTTCCTCCAGCGGCACTTTGGCTTCAGCTCCGACTACTGTAAGCGGCTTCGGTTCGAGAAATACTGCGATTAACGCTTCGAGAAACGTGTATATCCGCTCATTATGCTCCTCCGTGACCGTGATCATGCCAGGCACAATGTGTGACATGTCAAATAAACACTGCGGTAAACCCAAGTCAAACGCAATAAGAAGCATGAACGTGTAACCAATACTTCTGAAACGCTTCAGTGCGACGTCGGGTTTAGCCCACTTCTAAACGCAGGGGTCGCACGTTTCAGCTTCCCCTGCTTGTGCGGAGTTTTCTGGTTGTACCGGGGGCCAATTTTTTAATATCAAAACCCAAGCAAAAAAAAAACTTCAATACAAAAGTCGTAGCTCTATTTCATCTATAGATGAAATAGCGCTACGGCTTATATGCTTATCACATATGCTTAGGTAGCTACCCTGTTCAATTTTCCAGCCTTTCGCTAAAGTGGGTGAGGAAAAGAAGGAATGGTTTGATTGTCCGGGACTTGACGCTCACTCACTCACTCACTCACTCCTCTCTCTCTCTCTCTCCTCTCTCTCTCTCTCTCTACACACACAAACACACACACACACACACACACACCACACACACACACACACACACACACACACACACACACGAAATAGCAGGACAAGCGCGAGCATTAGCAGGCAGCACAAGCACGAAACAATCACACATTTGTCTTTTTCATAAAATGTACTACAATAACCCTGCTCTTCGTTCCTTGTTCATACACCCAGCTCCATTTAACTCACACCGTCTTGATCATCATCACAAGGTCCACACACCCTATTTTCATCTACTGCAGGCTCGCAATCATTTGTCCCCAGGACAGCAGGTGATTGGAATCACTTACCAGCCTTCATAACTGATAGAACTAATACAACTGCATTTTAAAATGTCTTATTCATCGTACTGTAGCTCTACATGTTTATTTTTTCAACGTTTTGCGGTTTATTAGACTTCTGTGATTGTTTTGTATAATGCTTCCAGTTTTACTTCTTTGCTGTTATTGTTCATGCTCTTGTTTTTACTACACACACCCCCGCCCCCTCTGTAATGTATTTATACCTTGAGGGGTACTATAAATACATACAGCCTAACTTGCCGATGCAAACGTTTGACACACACATATTATATGTGAATATTTATTCACAACAATATTTAACAATAGTTATGTACTTATTGTACAGACGTAAAACACCCAAAATCTCTTAACTAGCATAGGCAAGCGGCAACTTTTTTATTCGTCAGCGTCGTGTGGTGAAGCCAAGTTGCAAAAAAAAAAAAAAATGCCAGTTCTGCACGGAGAGCGCAGCCCAGTCTCTGCAAAAGCTGGAAGAGCACCTTTCCCACAGAAGAGTAACGTAGAGTAGAACCTTGGACAGAGGCACACACCCACTCTGGAGGATTGGCCTAGAACCGGGTAGTTATCAAAATAAATCCTTAATGATTAGAATAAATGTCGTTTAGTTAAAGATGAAAGAAGTAATAATGTACAAAATCGGAAATACTACCAATAGATGAGCAAAAACAGATAGTAACTCTCAGCTGGCTAAGTTGGTAAAGAATGATTAGGAACTTAAAAAACGCAAGTTTAAAAATATAGGAGTATCAGCTAGCTCTACGAATTAAATTCCTTTGAACATTTATTAAACTCTTCTAAAGCATCGGCAACCTTCCCTTCACTGTGGCCAAGAGACAAAGCCCCGAACGAAACCACATTTGGTGCATTTAGATCTAGTGTAAGGAGCCGGCGAGTGGCCCCTAAAGTACTTTTCGCAACATTGAGTATCCGTTGCAGACAATTAGATAATGTTCTGTTTTCTCATGTACTCTGCACAAGGAAAAGTAAGGAGAAGCTGCCAGACCAGCTATATATGTGCAAATAATGATTCAGATTTGGAACCTGACCACGTAGTCAAGATTGCAAGCTCAATTTCTCATGTGTGACATATTTGACTGTTATAACGGTGTCTGAGGTGATGGAATTCTATTGAGTCCATTAAATGGAGGAGAAAATTCCTCTGACGTCATTTTTCTCCTTGTTCTAGCGCATATTATGAACTTGGTTGCCGGTAATACGTGAGTAACCAGGTCATTCAAAGATGTATTTGCTAGTGCATCCGCCATGTCATTCAGAAATAGGCCCTTATCTTCTAGAAGCCGTTGCAAACTCTTAATAGATCATATCCTATGCAGGAGACTCTTGGGACTACTAATACAAGAGCGCCTGCAAGGTACCTGCGACTCCATTAATTGATTTGGTGGATGATGACAAAGTATTATGGATGAACCCTTTGTAATGATTTGGAATATTCAAAGACCCAGTCGCAATGAAATTCGTGTTGTGCACCGCCTAGTTGTTATTTGACTCTTCTACGACGTTATATTGCGCAGGTTAAGTGGTTTATTCCAGGCGTAACGCTTTCATAGTGTTTTAGCGAGCATAAGTTGTGAGCACACTGATGGTAGGGGTATACTATTGTGATGTTTTACAGAAGGCGCTTAAAAATGATTTCTGTTAGAACCTTAGCGTATTTAGCAATAGATAATGACGACGGATTAAGATTTGACTTAATCATGATGACTGCCTTGCACAGGATGTGGCCCCATCGAATTGCCAGGTTTCACGGTGACCTTGACAGGAGACCAGCGAGAGTATTTTAAAGAAAGTATAGAAAACTTTGTCGAGCTAGAAATAACAACAGAATGTGTTCCATTATGGTTAGAAAGGGTCAGAAGCCCTGCTTACTAAGAGGAAATTTTAATGCGTGATGACCTTTATGAATGCTTGATGAACGTGGTAGCGTTTGTTGCGCCTTGATTGTTGTGTATTGTAATGTAATTCGTTTGTCCCCTGATGGTTGACGTGCAACCGTAATTAAAGAAAGAAAAAAAACGGTATGGCTAAATACCAATATACTGGGGCTGGCACGGAGCAAACCTAGGTTCGAGTATTGCATCCTGAATATATCCTTTTTATTTATTTCTCCCCTTATTTCTTGCGACAGCGGTCACTGACACCAGCGGTAGCGGACCACCACGGCGTCATTTTTTGTGATCTCATAACAGCTTTTGCTTCAAAAGGCGTTCTGAGGCTTGTGCCCATTGTAGGCGTAGTTCCGTAGTTTCGTTTTGTTGACGTCGCCCCGTAGTGGCGTATGTCTCAGGAAAAATTACGTTTTCGGCTTTTTCTCACGAGTTGGAGCGTGTGGCGGCTCCTGAAATCGTATTTGCTCGATTGTTCTATGCAAATGCCCACATTCGGAGCGCGAAACGCGAGCAAAATCATTCTCAGACTAACGCTGCCTGTTCGTACGGAGAACCTCGATACGGGGTGGTGTGCGACGCTTACCCTCTCGCCCTGTTTTCTACTCAACACCGTGATGTAGTGCTGGCACGCAGAAAAGTCGACGATTGCGCACGGCCGTTAAAAATTTGGCAGGCTGCACATACTTAGACGAACCTATACACTTTTCAATATGAAGATCATCCCTCCAGTTGCAGTTGCAGGACCCTTTTATTGCAAGGCATCTATACAGGACAAATACTCCTCCTCCTCCTCCTCCTCCTCCTCCTCCTCCACTACCACTACTTCTACTACTACTACTACTACTACTACTACGAATAATAATAATAATAATAATAATAATAATAATAATAATAATAATAATAATAATAATAATAATAATAATAATAATAATAATAATAATAATAATAATAATAATAATAATAATAATAATAATAATAATAATAATAATAATAATAACTTGGGTCTAACGTCCCAACACCACGATATGATTACGACATACGCCGTACTGGAGAGTATACCGGTAACTTCGACCACCTGGGGTTGTTTAACGGGTGCCTAAATCTAAGCACATGGGCCACTAGCACTTTCGCCTCCACCGTGAATGCTCTACTGTCCAGAATTTCTGATTTGGCTACTAAGCAGGCATTCACGAGAAGAAACAATCTACTTCGTGTTAATTTTTTTTTCTTTTTGCAGATGTAGCAGATGTAGAAAGATGCGACCCGAGCTCAGTGACGCAGTGCTACATGATGTACATGACCGTGTTATGGGCGGAGGAGTATAGGCTTACGCACGAGTATGACGAAGAGCAGCTCAAGAGAAGTTGCAGGTATTGTTAGTTCGTCATTCTCTCTTTCTCTCTCTCTCAACACACACACACACACACACACACACACACACACACACACACACACACACACACACACACACACACACACACACACACACACACACACATATATATATATATATATATATATATATATATATATATATATAGTGGGCGTTTGTTAATTAGTTAATTACATCGTCATCATCCCTACGTGATCATAATCACCATCATTTGCTTGTCTCTTTGCCCTCATCGCCCCAGTGGGTCATCGTCATCGTCTGTGTGGTGCAGGCTCTGCCCGTTCGTTTTGCGAGGTCTTCCCTCGAATAAACGGTGTCGCAAACAAGACGTCATACGTGGTGGAGGTGGATTTTCCGTCCGCTGTTATAATATATATACAGGGTGTCCCACATAACTTGAGCCATGATTTTGAAAGTGAAAGGCACTTCGGAGGCGAGAATCGAACCATTCGCATACTACTCGCACTAGTCTCTAGGTACTCAGGCTATTTTGGTCTCCCCATACTAAATAATTATAAGTATTATTTACCTAATTATTAATTATAGGCTGGAAACCAAAATACGTACACTGAGATGTAGAGCCCTTTTAGAAAGTACTGACTAAATTGTTTTCTGTGCGATACGTCTTGAGCTGTTATTTTTTCCACGATGTAAAGAAAGCCCGCGAAACGTGAAAAGAAGCCGTGTGACGGACCGCGAGTGCACTGATATAGTGCTGCTATAAGCTTTCTTTCTGTTTTTGTTCTTGGCTGTTTTTTAGAAGAATGGAACACTTTCGAGTGTTTATATAGAAAGTCGGGTAGCGTATCACCAACTGACCTGCTGATGGTTTGTGGCACTTGCTCATCCTCTGAACTTTGTGAACCTCGATCTCCATTTTGGTTTTCTCATATTCACACGGTGGTTTTGGAACGTTAAGCTGCACCTATCAATCGAATTCATTCTGGCCTGTGGCATCGACAAACGTCACCTTCGGGTTTAATGTACTGCATGTTTCCCGCCATTTGTCAAAAAGGAAGGATCCCTGGAGCTGTTTATTGCCCACACATTAGCCCGTCGGTCAACGGCCGACACCACGTGGTGGGGAATTAGAATGCTCGTTCACAGGTAGGCCAATGGAGTCGGTCCGAGTATGGCGTGACACGTGAAACAGTTGTTACCAGAAGATGTCACGCGAGCACACACAGCAGAAAATGCAGGAAAAACTGCGCCCTTGGAGACGTAAAGATGCATTCATATGGACACGAATTTTCAGAGAGCACTCCTGGAAAAGTACCATGTACGAAAACTAACCCACTTCTGCAATCAACAGCTGCCGAACACTCAAGTAAATAAAGTCGATACACAAGGTAAGGTCGTGTGAAGACCACCGAACAACAGCGGACTGTGCGAAACACCTTGCCACAGAGCGCTACATCCTCAATACAATATCCCACTGGACACAAAGCGTCGCTACTTACACCCCGAAATGTCATACCACGACTCATGCAAAACATCACTTTATGTCTGGCAGGTTCTTAAAATTCACACTCATCACTGAGACTGTCGCGTCTGTACCCACAAGTGCCATAGTACCCTGTGAACAAGTACATCAACTCTGTTCTTGAACAAAAACGCTGACGGGGATATATCGGTAGATAGCACTTGATACCTTGCGGCCTCACCGCTATTGGCCGCACTGACTAGTTTTTTCCACATCGGTGACAGTGTGAGCCGCAGCACGTGGAGCTGGTGGTGAGGTCAAACTTCGATGAGAAACGAGCGTGGGGTAGCGTGACTCGGTTGGTGCACGTGGGTTCTGCCGTTGACGTGGAGAGCGGGCGGTCGAAAGGCTGATGAGACGTGAACAAATGTTGTCGCTTATATGGGCAGTGATCGCAAAAACGTGCAATGTGAACCGGATTGTCACAGCTGTAGCACACCGGAGAGGTCAAGATACACGTGGCTGCTCAGTTAACCACTCTCCACTCAGGAGGCGTGGAATAGTAGTGCCACTCTTCAGGTACACCATAGCCAGGTGACCAGGTGGGAGAAAACTTCATTCGTAATTAAAAGGTGGGTGATGTAAGTACATATGAATACCACGTGCCTTGGTATTCATAGGCGTCTGCTGCTTGACTGATAATTGCCGTGCAGCAGGAGCAGCCTAAGTTAACACACGTTCTGGTTTTCTTCTCTAGGCCTCCTGAAAGTCGCTGGGGCGACGATAGGTTTTCTGACATCGAAGCAGCTCTTCTCTGACAATCTGCCGTATAGTCAAAGCAAGATCATTGGGCGGCAATGTTTCGTCACTAGCCAGAGTTGGTACCTTGGTCCCACCGCGTTGGCCTAGTAGCTAAGGTACTCGGCTGCTCACCGAGTATCTTAGCAACTCGGCAGAATCCCGGCCGCATTTTCGACGAAGGCGAAAACGATGCAGGCCCGTGTACTCATATTTGGATTTGGGTGCACGTTAAAGAACCACAGGTAGCCACAATTTCCGGAGTCCTCCACTACGGCGTCTCTCGTATTCATATGGTTGTTTTGGGACGTTAGCCCTACATATCTAAAGTTGGGACGTAATACAGGAGAAATTTCGCGGAGATGTGTCGCATCTTCAGCGCTTCAAAGGTGCGACAGTTTTTAATACGAAGCAGATTATGGCGGAGCTTGATCCGATGTGCGCCATGACCACCCTTAGTGCGCATGCGCCAGCTCCTCCCGTCCTCACGTGAGTGCGTGGAAAGGGTCCTCTCTTTTCTTCGTGCTCACGCGGCGACCATCTCCTCGTGTTGGCGTGAGGAGGTGGCAGAGCACTGCCTCCACTTCGTTTCTGCTCTCCCGTTTATCGCTTCTCTACAGCTGTGTGCTCATATATAGTGCTGCACTTGCTTGCACCGTTGCAATTCTAGCAGCGCTAGGTGTTCACATCGCGGCACACCCACAATAATACACACAAAGAGAAGAATAGTAAAGTAAGCGGTACACAACATATACACAACTCTACACACAAATGAGCTTACAAGGAAACGTATAAATTGAAACAACAAGTGGAAACACAAGCAAACAGCAGCGCTGCTTCACATCCACACATGGTTTCCATTTGTAGGAGATGGTGTCGTTTGTTCATCCTGCCAGACCCGGAGTTCAGGCTCACTTTTCTTATTAAAAATTGTGCACGTATTCGGCTATACCCTCGAGAACGTGTCCAACATTTTCTTTTTCATACATACTGGCAATCACCATCTTGCACAGCTTCAAGATTTCTTCGATGTATGTCACACATGTCTTTTCCGTAAGCTGCGCATGTCTGCTCTACGTGTTTTTTTTTCTTTGCGTCAAAATCACCGGAGCACTCCTGGAGTTCTTTGACAAAGCTTCCCAAGTCGTGAATGTGTCCTCGTGGTTCTCGTAACACATGAGGGCGCTGTCCATTAGCCAAAAACAAAACATGACTGAGCTGCGCGGCCGAGTCCCAGCCAATACTTCTGCTCACCCGCTGGTAGCTCTTGACCCACACGTCGATGTTTTTTTCCAAGGTCCCACCGAGGTGGAACCCGTCGGAGTTGGCCTTGAAGTATCAGGCCTGGTCTTTGATATTTCGATCGGCAAAGCTGGGAGTCCAGCAAAACAGCAGCTGCAGTGAAGTCCAGGCAGGGAAGATCCGTATTGGGTTCGCCTTACCCAACACCTTCCGCCAATCTGTTGCGTACTGCGAAGTAACTTAAAGTAGTTTTTAATTGGAAATGAGGCCGCAATAACTGTAGAAACAACGTTGTCTTTTTTCTTCACCCACACTTCACCTCTTTTTATATCTATTTTTTGTTTGCTGTTGTATGTTTCTGGATAGGGACCCAAGTTCTCATTTGCTATTTTTATTCAATTGATCAATCCATGAGTCGATTGTTTATTTGAGTTGAAAAGTCCTGTGGCAACGCATGTTTAGCTTCACATCGTGAGATTAGCGACTCTGAGAAAGTTCTCCAGGATGATGATCTGTCACTCTTTTTACATTGCAGCGCCATCGAGGAAAAGTTACCGTGCCATCGATATTTGGTGAATTGCTCGGAAGCAGTGACTGGTGACCACAGTATTGAAGAGAGGGGATACGAGGCACTGCGCAACATTATGTGCGACGTTAAGAAGCTGAAAGGTGCGTACATATAAAGTGGAAGGGGAAAAAAGAGAAAACCAGGAAAAATGGGGCTATGAAGCTCACTATCCAACCAACCACCCAACTTGTAATGTAATGCTCGTATATGGATTTTACAACAAACAGATGCCAGAAAACGCTTCAATGTACTGGTTCACTCAACCAATAACTGATTTTTCTTTTGCGCAAAAAAGTAACTGTTGCTGCCTGCAGGAGAATCGGGAGCATCGGGATGTGCAGCGTCCATGAAGGCGTTTCACACGTGAAAACCCAGCATTAGCAGAATAATTCTTTTTTTTTCTTACACCATGTAAAATCCCTCAAGGGCTTTAACACCGTGCTGTGATTAGCGCCGTTTGCCACACGTGGCGTTTTTCTGTCGCGAAAAACGCCGTATGCGTTTCCAGCTCTAGCAGCTCTCATGCACGATTGAAAAAAAATGGCCCCGTATCTGTATGTTGCACCGCAAATGTCTTGCGTCTGGAGAGAGAGAACAAAACGTTTATTTGATGTTCTTCGCAAGAAAATTGGTGAATGGTATTCTAGAGGCTCTGCGTTAGAGTGCTTCGAGCGTGCAGCGGAGGCGAACGAGTGCATCAAGTCACGTCACACGTGAGACATGGGCGCTATCTGGCAGTTATCTGGAAAAACAAGGCACGCGCCGTGCGCGACCATCTCTGAGGTGATAAGGTGTAGAACGCAAGGCGACGGGTAGGTGCCACCACCGTGCCGTCTTAGCAAAGCGTTGGAAACAATTGCCGTATCGTGCAAGCGTTTCATGGCCAGCGAAGCGTTACAAAGGCTACGATCCTTAAAATTCCTTATGTATGCGTTTTCTAGTAAAAATACGCATACATAATATTGACGTGTTGTTATGGTGTCTCAGATATGCGCAATAATTGCTTTTTAATTGACTATCGCACAAGTATGAACGCTGAACTTTAAGCAGTATTGGTGGGTGGTGCAGATGGGGTGAGCCATTTGGAGCATCGTTTGGTCACGTTGGTGCCGTGTAGGGTACCGTAAAGGGTGGACAAGCAGGCAAATGTGCAGACAGACAGAGAGACCAAAATTTTAGGGGCGAAGCTCCTGTTTAGAAAAAGTTTATTCTTTCATGGGACGCAACAAACTTAGAGACAAGCGTCTGTATAACAGGCACAATAACAAACAAAAGACAAAGCACAACATACACTACACATTTAAATTAAAGTGTCCAAGTCCGTAGGATGTCCGTAGTTCATTGTACTAATAACTGTACATACACTACATAAATGCACTAATCACAACATGGGCAATGTACATGATGATATATGTACAGAATTTACAAGACTTGGTGAAGATGTTAGAAAAAAAGTGCCGCCATATCCACGAAGTGAATGATGATGAGTGGGCGAAGCTCCGGAGGTAAACCTGGTAAACCATGAATCCTCTGTACATTTTGCCCACTCGATTTTATTACATCGCTCCCCCTAGCGTACGTCGCCGCACTAAATCGAACGATTGCCTTCAACCAATGACACGCGCCATATGTGACATCATTCCTCTTTTATAAGATCTCGCGTCTTTCATCAACTAAAAGTACCGCTTTCTAGTTTATAACATCTTGCATCTTTTCATCATCAGCTACAAGTACCACCATCTAGTAAACACTACAAGAACTAAACGAGAGGTGGCTACATGCAGGAGACGGTACCGCCATCTAGTGAACACTGCAAGAACTAAACTAGAGGTAGATACGGATGGATGCTATGAGCGTCCCCTTTATAACGGGGTGGTGGCAAGTATGCCACCAGGCTCGACAAAAAAAAAAAAAAAACCTTTTTTCCTTTTTTTATGTTGGCCTAATGCCTCTACTTCGATAAATTCTATCTTAATGGAAAAAAGGTAAATTTTCAGCTTAAGTTCTCTGCCATTTACGACACACTGCCCATATTTTATTTTTCCAATATTTATTTTTGTCCTTTCTCTCTAATTTTCTGCCACCAATACTCTAACCGTCTCTTACTTATTTCAATCGCGGGTGTGTTCAGCTTTCCATTGTTGTCCCTAAAACCCAAGGCTTCCTGTAGGCTCGTGCCCAAACGTACACCTGGGTGGATATCTCCACATTCAATCAGAACATGCTCCGCCGTTTCCTTATCTTTCCCGCAGCATGTGCATTGTTCTTCTTCTTTACAGAATCTTGCTTTATAACTACGCGTTCTAAGGCAACCCGATCTCGCTTCAAACAGTAAAGCGCTTCCCCTTGAATTATCGTAAAATGCCTCCCTCCTTATTTCATTTTTGCCCTTTCGGTAGTTACTCAAAGCCGGTTTTTTCTCCATAGCTGCCATCCAGTAAATCCTCTCCGCCTCCCTGACTTTTCCCTTAACGCTCTTTGTTGACATATGGCTCACAATACCAGCCGTATATTTACTAGTGAGTCTTCTAGTTCTTTTTCTCCACTGTGTGTCCACGCTCTTCCTATACAAATAACGGAACACCTTCTCTGCCCATCTACTCTCCTTCATATTTCTTAGCCTTTCTTCGAACCTTATTTTGCTCTGCGCTTCCCTCGCCTCAAAACCTGCCCACCCCATATCGCCCTTTACAGCCTCGTTTGTCGTCTTCCCGTGAGCACCCAACGCGAGGCGTCCCACAGTCCTTTGATTTACATCCATTCCCGATTGCACCTCTGCCCTCATGCACACCACTGAGTTCCCAAAAGTAAGCCCTGGAACCATTACACCCTTCCACAGACCTCGAAGCACCTCATACCTATTGTATCCCCACAACGCTCTGTGCTTCATTATTGCCGCATTCCTCTTTCCTTTTGCTGCCGAGGCTTTTTCCTGTACCTCCATGTATCTATCACTCTCATTTACCCATACTCCAAGGTACTTGTATTCACTTACCCTCGGTATTTCTTGGCCTTGTATGGACACCGTCTGATCACAGGGATCATTGAATACCATCAAACCACACTTCGTTACACTGAATCCTAGTCCAAGAGCTTCACCTTCCCTTCCGCATATATTCGCCAGCTGCTGTATATCATCTCGACTGTCCGCAAATAAGACGATATCGTCCGCATAAAATAAACCTGGAAGCTTCTGCTCAATCATCATGCCACCCTGTTTGTGTGACAGATTAAAACCAATGTTGCTACCTTCTAGCGCTTTTTCTATACTCACCATGTACAGCATGAATAACAGTGGGGACAAAGGACATCCCTGTCTCAGACCCCTGCTAACCTCAACGTTCTCTTTGCTACGCATTCCTTCCCACTCTATGCAAACTGTATTTTCTCGGTATATCTCCCTCAAAAGGTGTATACAGTCGTCGCCCATGCCCATTCCTTTCAATATATCCCACAAAATTTCCTGATTAACGTTGTCGTATGCCCCAGTGATGTCTAGAAAAGCCACGTACAAGGGCCTATTCTCTATTTTAGATATTTCTATACACTGAGTGAGAACAAACAGGTTATCGTCTAACCGCCTGTCGACTCGAAATCCGTTCTGAAGTTCTCCCAAAATATCGTTATGTTCGGCCCATGTTTCTATTTTCATTTTTACTGCTTGCATCGCCAACCTGTATAGTACCGATGTAATGGTTAGTGGTCTATACGAGCGAATCTTGTCCTTTTCTCCCTTGCCTTTATAGATTAAGTTCATTCTACTTTGTCGCCAACTGTCCGGTATTTTTCCGTCCTTTAAGCTTTTTTCTACTGCTTTTAACAATGCTTCTTTAGTGTTATGTCCTAGTTCGTTAATGAGGCTAACGGGAATCCCATCTAAACCCGCGGCAGTGCGCTTTGGAATTTTTCCTTCGGCCTTTTTCCAGTTGAAATTATCTAGTACTAGCTCTTCCTCTGTTGCTTTCTCCGCCACACTTTTACTCACCGGGGAGATCCCCTGGACGCTCTTTTGAAACGAATCGGCTGTTACCTTTTGGATGTAACCTAGCGCTTCGTACCCTTCCAATTGATTTCCTCCTTCATCTAGAATATGTTGTTGCGTTGTGACAGACTTCCTACCTAGCGCCTTTATGTGGCTCCAAAAAATCCTAGGCGCGGCCTCCTTTTTTTCGTGTATCTCTGTCATCCAGCGTTCACTTTCACCTTTAATTTTTGCCTCTACCAATTTCTGTACAAGGGATTTTTTCTCCAAATATATTTCCCATATTTTTTTGACTTCGTCCTGCGGCCGCTTCTCCTTTTTTGCCTTTCTATGCTCCCGTGATGCTTCGCGTCGCTTCTCGATCGCCTCCCGGATTTCCTTGTTCCACCAACTTTTTGGCTTCCTTTTTCCTTTGCAGCAAACGGTTTTCTTCTCTTTCCCTATCTCCTTCGTCATTAGATGTAACAGCTCCCTATACTCCCAGTCCTTGCCTGGTATTTCGCCTACTTCTTCCTCGACTCTTGCGGCTATATTTATTATTTGTTGTCATTTAAATACGAGCTGCCAGACTTTGATTCCATGCTCATATTTTTAGTTTCGTATCCCATTTGTAATGTTATTCGTTTATGATCACTACCCAAGCTGTTAATGCCTTCCTCGTCTATCCTCATTTCTGTCAGTTTGTGGTAAATTCCTTCAGTCATGAGACAATAATCAATACTTGATTGCTTGTTTCCGACTTCCCATGTGATCTGGCCGTCACATTTAGGCCCCGTGTTAACTATCTCCAGACTATGTTGCTCGCAAAGATCTAGTAATAACTTCCCATTGGTGTCTGAATATCCGTCAAGGTCATGTATGTGGGCATTCATGTCCCCTAGAAGGATGATTTCGGCCCCATTACCAAATTCCTTAATATCCGCACTCATGCAATCCACTATCTCCTGATTCTTTTCTCTGCAGTTATTCCCCGTCCACAAGTAGGCTACCCCTAGCCACGTTTCCTTTCCACCTACTGTGCCCAGAACCCAGAGGTGCTCTGAACACGTCTGTTTCACTCTAACCCATTTGGCTCCGCGGTGAATTAGCATTCCTACACCCCCACCTTTCCTTTCCGAT